ATGGAGGAAGCACATGGTGGAGGAAGATGGTCACCTATGGCAGCTGGGAAGCCAAAGAGAAAAGAGGAAGGGGCATGGTCCCAAGGTCTTTGAGGGCATGCTCCCAGGGACCAGGAGACCTCCCACTAGGTCCCACCTCACTCCCAATAGCACCAAGCTGGGGACTAAGCGCACAGGGGCCTTTGGGGGCCATTTAAGATTCAAGCCATAGCAGGGTATGTGTGTACATTCTTTCACATTTAAAATGTTTAAATCAACAGTATTGGGTTCTAGGAATCTGACAATCACTTGAAAAAGGCCTGGAGCTCTTGTTAATCCAATGCTTTGTTCCAAAAGTGTAATGCTATTGCTAAAATAGCTGATGTAAAATGTTGATAGTGTTTATTATAAAACAATAAAAATGACTTTTCTGGGAAGAATACATTACTAGTGAGAATAAATGCATTGGTCAGGACATTTGTAGAGTATTATTTTCTCATCAGAATGCTGCCTAAGTGGCTAAAACAGACAGAGAAGGGGAGAGTTATATGGTTGGAAGCCATGTCATTTGAGGGACAGTAAAGTAATTAAATTATACCTATATTTAGTGCTTAGCACTCTACTCAAGCTTCTCCCAAATATTCTCATTACCTGATTTGAAGAAACATGGTGTATTTTCCCTGGCAGAAAGAAAACCCAGTCTTTAAGTATGGAAAGTCTTCATTAAACTAAGAGAATTAAAAGTAAAATAAGAAAGAGGTAGAGATGGGATTTGACCATAAAGGAAGTTTGAGTCCAATATCTTCTTTAAGTTATATACATGAAAACATATATATACTTTTTCCTTTGTTAAGCAGTTTCACTTAGCAAGTCTATCTGAAAAGATTTAGTTAGAAAAAGCAAAGTTGTATCTGAGCATGTCTCAGACATGATGTCTTATTTAGCTTTACTACCATGGGACTAGCACAACTGCTAAGACATAAGCACTCAGTAAGTATCTGCTGAGTGAATTAGCCAATCCCTTTGCTTGTTTATGCATCAGCCCACAGATGAACATTAGATAAAATATATATACATTCAAACAAGAGAGAAATATTTCTCTGCAAGTCTGTTTTCTTTATAGCATCCCATGTTACAATGTCTTTTCAGCCATCTGTCCTCTGTTCCCCCACCCCTGGCAACTCAATTTTCCTCTCCACCCATCTACTTTGTCCCATGAGTGAATAAGGCTTTCACTTCCACCTGTCTACTTGGCTATCAGCCAAGATGAGTCTTCCAGCTCTTCATAATTGCTTGTCTTGATTGACAACCCAGGAACTAGGACAACAGGTGATCATGATAGTAAAAACATACATCAGATTGTTTAGGAAGAGAAACAAAACAAAAGGAAAGAATTCCGACTGCAGCAAGGAAACCACTTTCAAAATATCTTCACTCACCCTCCACCAATTTTTTTTCCCTACCTCATTATAGAAAGACTATAGGAAGAGCACTGGTAGAAGAAAGAATTATTTGTGCATTGTACATCAGAAAAATAAATTTCTTGGTACTATAAAAGGTTCTAGAGCATTCTAAGGCTAAACACAATGACATCTAAAATCCAGGCAGAAAAAATGTGAAGGAAGAACATAGGGCTAATTCTAATGCAGTCACAAAGCACCATTAATACGACAAGAAGAAAAACAGGTTAAAGTTAATTCAGTTCAGTTCATTTGTTTCTAGTATCTACCTTCTGTCTCTGAAATTGTAAGGGCAATGTCAGCACTGCAGACAGCACAAAGAAGGAACCCTCTCCACACCCTGCTACCCAAAGGTTATCCGGTAACCTGATCCTGCAGACTGTAGGGCAGAGAAAGAGGAGAAAAACCTGTTCACATTAAAAAGAGATATTAATTCATTAATATCTTACATACTATTCACCATTTTATTTGTGTTAAGATAACCTTATTCGGGGACTTGAAAATGAACCTTTCAATCTCAAATGACTGTAGCACTTCTAAAGGGTGGTATACACATTTCAAATACAAAATAGTACTGAAACAAAGGACACAATGAGAAAGAAAGGAAACTTTCCTGAATGATCTATACTCACTTCACCAACCCAAGACTATGGGAAAGAGAAAAGTTCTTAAAGGTAGACGCTTCAAATGTAGGGAAATAAGAAAAAAAAGAGATTTTGCAAAAATGAAAATGCTTTTAGGAGAACAAGAAGGCCAATGATTACCTCATAACCCATTAAAAGCATATAAAGAGTTTATCTGAAAATGGATTTTTTTGCTTTTCCATTGGTGACTTTACCAGGATATTGAGCTGAGGTTTACAAAATGCTGTGCTAGGAAGAAACATTATAATATAGTATCAAACAAAAAGGTTAGGTTGATTTGGTGGCTTGCTACCCAATAAATGCCATATACAGAACTGCCAGATAGTAGAAAATGTATGGTATGCTCAAGACCAGCTCTATACCTACCTTTTAGTGAATTTCAGATCCTGTCTCTAGATGGAAAAGGGTAGGGGGAATACAACAAAGATTTCCAGACCTTGGGTGTTTAAAGGGCCTTCACACAGTAAATCACCCCACTGCTGTCCTGTTTTCTCCCCAGCCAGACTGAAATAATACAGCACCAGCAGAGGTGTGAATTACCCCCATTCATCTTAATGGAGTGTTAACTTCAAAGACTTGTTTTAACCATTTAAATGCTAAGCTCATGAGTAAACATTCTGTTTAAAAATGTATAATTTAAACCTTGAACATATGAAAGTAATTTATAGTCTTGGTATTTCGTCTTTTAGTCTAGCAAACAAGTCTCCCAAAGTTAGAAAAGTATGTAATTTGTGCTTAGTTTTATTTTAAATAGTTATTACTTAATAAATTATGAACATTAAACCTATAACAAGAAGGTCCATATTTCCAGAAGAAAGGCTAAGGAGCACTTGAACAAGGTATCTTGGTAACACCAGAGAAGGGCACACTGCTTTTACTGGCCACTCTCCAAACTCAGAGAATACTCTGTCTCTATAAACAGGTAACTATAAGGCAGAACATGAAAATAAAATGGAAATGAACACTTCCAAGAAACACTTTTCTTGATATTAACTAAGCTTTGTGCACAGCGTTCCACAGGTTATTTGTCCCTTTTGCCAAACCTCCCACCATACAATCCCGTGAGAGGTGACAAATGTATTAATTGATGCACAGCTGTCATCACACTTAAGATTTGCCCCAGGGGGGCATCCTTTGCATCTGTTGTAGATTTAATTTTTCTTTTCTTTTTCTTTCTTTTTTTTTAATTACTGGAGTTAGATTTATTCAAGCAGCTGGACACCTATGTCTACTTGGATCCATAATTTCAAAAACAGAAAGAGTAGGTACAAGTAGAAACCTATCAGATTGATGGGCTCTGAACCTTCATGGGAGGCCTTGCCTAGTTATGCCCCTGGGACTATGCTAAGTGCCTAGTTTCAGGAAGGCATTAGGATGAGAGTACAGCTGGGGTGGAACTGTGGGAAAGCACTAAAAAGAGTGCTGCTGGAGCCAGCTCCCCAGTGAGTGAAGGCTAGAAAAAGATTCTGAATATAATACTTGTATAAGATGGAAGATGAAAAAATTTAAGATATGTTTCCATGTCCTTCATTCAAAGTAATTTCATTTTATAGGTACAGACAAAAGGTCAGAGAAAGGGGACAAACATTTATCTACTGAGAAGCCCATTTTGGTCTGCATCTAGTTAATATATAGAAGCCATTTAGTCCTCTCAACACTACCCTCTGACAGCCATTAACTCCATTTTATGGATTTGAAAGTGGAGGCTTAGAGATAAGTGTCTTTCATTGAGATCTGAATCCAAGTCTTTCCAGTTTAAAAGCTTTACTTTTTCCCATTACACCATATGTTCTCAAGTTGCCAAAGCAGTATCTCTTTGAGTTTCTTTTTTGAAAGGCTCAGTTATCAACTTTGCAGCCTATTTTCTAGGTTGGAAGAAAGAGGGCACCTGCAAAAATGTACATTTCCTTATATGCAAATTGGAATTTTGCATGCAATTCCCTACTTTACATGTGGACTAGGATAAGATTACATTTTTAGTGATACACCCCGGCTTCCATAAACTGCTAACCATGTGACAGAAAAGCCCTAGCTTCTGGCTTCTAACCAGAAATTAGTCATGTCAACAGGAAAACTGCAATGATTTATAACCTACAAACAAAATATAATTTAAATGATCAGTATTTGTCTCTGTTTGCCAAGTAGAATGTTAACATGTTTTAGTGGCAGACTGATAAAGCTCAGAGCTTTCCAATCCACACAATAACAGGAAAATCCCAAAAGTTTTTGGATAAGATTTGGAGGGAGGGCAAAATACCAAGTGGAAAAATCTAACAGTTGTGATTGATGGTGACAACATTCACCCATAAGCTAAGATTCAACAATGTATATAAACTGAATATACCTATTTATTAAAAACAAACTAATAACTGACTCAATATATTTAAGAACATTAAAAACTTCTGCTCTGTGAAAGAGACTCTTAGGAAAATTAAAAGAAAAGCCACAAATAAAATCTCTGCAAAACAATTATCTCATAAAGGACAGACATCCAAAATATACAAAGAATGCTTAAAAATCAACAATAAGAAAACAATCCAATTAAAAAAACAGGCATAAAGGTTGAATAGACACTTCAAAGAAAACATACTAAGGTCAAATAAGTATATGATTAGATGCTCAACATATGTCCTTAGGAAATTGCAAATTTAAAAAAATGATATAACACTACATACTTATTAAAATGACAAAAACTCAAAACAATGACAATACCAAATGCTGGGCAAGGATGTGGAATAACAGAACCTCTCATTCATTGCTGGCAAGAATGCAAAACCTTACAAACACTTTGGAAGGCAACTGGTGGTTTCTTAAAAAACGAAACAGGCTCTTACCATTGAATGTAGCAATTGTGGTCCTTTGTATTTACGCCCCCCGCCTCCCCCAAAGCTAAAAAACATGTCCACACGAAAACCTGTACCACAAAGATTTACAGCAGCTTTATTCACAATTGCCAAAACTTGGAAGCAATAAAAAGGTCTTTCAATAAGTGAAGAAACAAACAAACTGTGGTACATATATACAATGGGATATTATTCAGAATATTATTAAAAAAGAGATGAACTATCAAGTCATAAGAGACATGGAATAAACATCATTGTATATAGTTAAGCCGAAAGAAACCAGTCTGAAAGGACACATACTACTATATGATCCCAACCAGATGGTATTCTGGGGAAAAAAAAAAACAAAAAACCAACTATGGAGACAGTAAAAAGACAATACAAACAGTGGTTGCTAGTGGCTGCAAGAATGAACCCGAAGGTAAACAACTGGCTTTAGTTAATAATGTTTCAAAATGGTCTCATTAAGTGTAACTAATACCTGGGTTAATAATAGGAGAAACTGCTCAATGATTCTGAAGACACAAAACTACTCTAAAAAAAAAGTCCACTGATTTTTAAAAAGTCCCCGTAAATGAAACATTGACTCAAAATACTTAAGAGCATTTTGAGTTTGTTTCTTATTTTAATTAAACTGCTATATTTCTACTTTCTCCTACACACTGCCATTATGTTCTGTTTTATTCTGTCAATGATTTTCATAAAAATGTATTTTTTCATCGAAGTGGCTTCCAGAATTATTCCTTCTTGCTTATGTAGGTAAATTATTCTTCATAAGTAGGAAAATATCCTTTCATTTTTTAATCCAATCAAACACGATGAATGCTAAACTAAAATTCCCAAGCAAAATTCCAGAGATGAGCAAAACAAAAGCCTGTGGAAATAAAAAGATAAAATAACAATTAAGAGTATTTCATAAACTTCCATTCTTCCCAATAATGTTTTTATAATATTTTGACTTTTTGAATATATATAAAATAGTATCAAATGACAAATTAGTTTTTTAAAAAAGAGTTCTTAAAAGAAATAAAAACAACCTACCCCAAGCTTTTTCCATGAAAGAAAATCCTCTCTACTAAGTTTAAGATAAAATAGTCCTGGGAATACAAAAATCAAACATGTTGATGTACTGGCCCCTGTAAGTTGGAAGGGAGAAAAGAAAGATGTTGGATTCAGATTCGAGGTGGAGTAATAATTTTATCCATCTTATTATGTGGATTTTTTGGAAATGAAAAACTTACCAACTACACCAAAAACATTTCTAATGTCAGGAACATATATTGCAAGTAAAAGAATGATGATATTGAGTACTAGAGTAATCAAAGAATGGCGAATCCATGAGAATGGAAAATTGGAGAAAAACATCATCATTAAAGCTTTTCTGGCCTGTATAAGACAAAAGGAAATAGACTTAAGCAAAGAGGAAGCATCAAAGACAAAATATTTGCTTAGCAAAGCACATGTACAGTAACCATGATATTCTTGCCTCCAAACTATTTAGATTCCCAAACTATAGCATAAATTGTTTCAAGTGTTTATACTCATAAACTACGTGTTTATCACATAAAACTTTCTACATGAGCTCATAAAAATTATTTTGCATTAGTTCTAGAAAAAAGTTTTCATAGGCAATTTTTTCAGGTTGTATAATTTAAAAAACTACCAACAGTAATATTGTGTGATGAGATCTCAAAGAATCATTTTCACTAAAGTCAACAGAAAAAAAAATGGTTTAAAACCGAAAAAGATCTGATGTCATGAAAAAGAAATACCACTTACTACTTTAACTTATGTTATCTGTTTCACACATGTAAATATGAATAATTACTCATTACACTGCCCACAACTAGGCAGGCAGTCACATTCCATGAAAGTGTGCCCAACCCCTGTTGCACTCTTGGCACTAACCTCTGCATAGGGAGGGACAAACAATCTTCAAGGCTCAGTTCTTACAAAACTCACTGTGAGATTCAAGACATCCATGGAGAGGCAGTTTTACCCAAAGCTTTTGTTTTCACTTTCTCAGAAATTCTTAAGATTCTTATGTATAACAATTAGATGCAGAATGAAAATCTGTTCTGCCCCTCAAGTTATAATTTTAGAGCAAGTCAAATATTTTGAGTAAGATTAAACTAGCATGTCTATGTGAAAATAAAACTATAGTAAACCAGTAGGAGCTTATTTTTGCTGACTTGACTATTTCCTTTTCATGCATATTCTTTTGAAAGTAGAATACAGAATGGGGGGAATAAAACTTTAGAACTACAGTCTCTAAATTGGAAACAATGCTGTGGGAGAACGTAAATCTAAACTAAATCTCAGAAAGCACAAATTAGCTTAGTGGTTCACTGTTATTTTGGGGCTTTCATGGGGCCATATGCAAGTATGAGGTCTTTGATCAATTACTTGACAAATGAATAAGATATACAAGACTAGACATGATTCAAAGGTTCTAGTCTGCAAAGAATTAGTGTTGCCATATTAGGGAGCCACTACACTAAGCAACAAAATCTTTAAGCATACTTACAGGGAAGTGGATTAGAGGGACTGTCAAAAGCACAGCAAATAGTATGCATAACTTCACAGTCATGACAATAACATCATGTGGCAAGTATTTACTATAACCTCGTAGTAATTCTGACTCCACTTTGTCTGTAAATAAAAAAAAAACACTAAGAATCACATTATAAGCTATGTTCTAAGATGTCAATAATAGCAAAATCATTTTCTATAGCACTAATGGATCCTAATAGATTTAGATTCCCCATTACCAAATCCATCTCTGGCCTTTTCCCTATTCCATGAAATACAAAGACATTAGTTAAATATATTCTTGAAAACTACATTCTTTTAAAATTTTTTAATGAAATTAGAAACAGGACAGGCAACACCTACAAAATTATGACAGTTAATGTGTTTAGAAATTTCTCTTTAGAACTTTTCTACCATCTGAGGGTTTGAACATTCATGTTGTTTGCTTATATAGTTGCTTTCTCATGTATTGTTGACTTTGGTCCCTATGATAACAATATAAATAGGTAAACGTAAAACTGTAAATCACTTGCCTAAGATCACACAATATAAAGGAGCATAGCTGACAGGGTTGTACATCCAATATTTTTGGGGTGCCCAAGTTGATACTTATACAACAATACCATGATATTTCCTCATATCTTATAGTATTTTGTGCATATTACCAGTTTTTGTCAACAATTCATCTATAGATTCATCCTTGGTGAAAGAATGAAGTGTTAGGAAAATGGTTACTCAGAAGACAGGGCAGCAGTCAGACTTTTTGCCTGATGGTGTTGCCATACTCACAATGTCTCCCCTCACCCCAAGTCAGCTGACAAAGAGCGTGGGTGCTCAAGTACACTGCCACTTCAGTGTCAGTGGGCAAAGACTAGTTAGTACCTAAAACAGAATGGTGTGCACATGCCTGTAATCCCAGCGGTTCTGGAGGCTAAGGCAGGAGGATTGCAAGTTCAAAGCCAGCCTCAGCAATTTAGCAAGGCCCTACACAACTTAATCAGACCTTGTCTCAACATATAAAAGGCTGGGGATGTGGCTCCATGGTTAAGTGCCCCTTGGGTTCAATCTCCAGGTTGTAGAAAGGATGCTTTGGGGCAGATTAAAAAAAAAAAATCAACTATACCTTTGTTTTCAAGAAGCTTAAAATTTAAAGGGGAGAAAGACAAATTCATACGTACATAATACAAATTATACATCCACATAAATACACATATTGGTAGAAGAAGGTCCAAACAAAGAGCTTTGGTGATTCTAAAGTAAGACCACAGAGCAATGTTCAAATTTCACCACTTACTAGTGACTTTTCCAAGTCTCAGTTCCTACATCTTTAAAATAGGGACAATAATACATTGATCTATAGAGTTACTGGGACATTAAATGAGTCAATCAATATATGTGTGCTGGCGTTCAAAACTGTGGGAAAACAGATTCTTTAGAAGAAAAAAACAGCACAAGTGGAAGTCTTCAAGTAGCAAAGGGAATGTATATCTGAGAAAATAAGAAGTCCATTCAGTACTGCAGTCACTGAAATATAATAAGCAGAAGTACAAAGAGGGAAGTTGGTGACAGGGCTGGAAATGCATGGAAGACCTAGGAATACAGCTCTGTGTAGGGTTTAGACCAATCTTGCATGTCACAGACTTGCAATAGTGATTCAGGAAGGAGACTGTATTATAATCTGAACGAAGCAAAGTATAGACTAGAAGGAAAGAAAAAGAAGGATAATAGAAGGCTACTCTCATAACCACTGAGAGGTAATGAACTAGACTAGTGATAATGGAAATGGGAAAGAAATGAGTTGTCTAAAGTATTATAGACAAAATTTATACAATGTGGGACTAACGGACTAAGTAGGTGACTAAGAAGAGCCAGGAAATCCAGAAATCTGGATTTTATTTCCAAATCTGTGAGATACTTGGGAGTCTTTTGAGAAATATGGCAAACTATTTTATTTCCATTTTCTGAATCATAAAATAAGCCATTAACACTTCTTGCTTAACAACCTCATAGACTTTAAAAGGTCTGCTTATTATGCAACATTTGGGCAGTGGCCTAGCTCACCAGAGAACACTTTTCTCTTTCTCACCACATAATGCTTTAACATCTGTAATTAGTGTCAATATTATTAATCTTTGTATATACTTATAGGTCCCTTTAATCTTACAAAAGTTAGATATTAACTAAATCTTGGGAATTCTGAGTAAAAGGATTCCAAGTAACTCCAGAATCTTGAAGAATTAGATTATTATAAATTCAAAAATATGTCACTTGTCCACTTTCTACTTTCCCAGGATGAAAACCTTTCTTCCGAGTCAGTCATTCTGTATTCTTAGCTGAACTGTAACATATGTAAGCGATAGAGTACAACATGCTTCTCTAGATTCCAATAAATCTCTACTAATCTCAGAAAGGACCTGCTGGCGATCTCTGCAAGTTCTATCGCCATTAAAGTCAAGAGGCTGTCTTGTATAATACACACTGTCAAACAGGGTCTGAAGCTTATTAAGATTATCATAAAGTAGCAGAAAGAATACTGGATTAGCATTCAGGAAACCTGCCTTTAATTCTGTGACAGGTAACTTCATCACTATGGGCTTTAGCTTTAACTCCAGACTAGACCTTCTGATAAAATCTCAGGCTCAATTAGCAATTTCTTTCCATAAGACAGAGCTCTTGTTGAACTTATAGAAAGACACCATAAAAAGTTTTTCTTGCTTATGATTAATAATACTTAAAAGAACCACTGTGAAGAGTAAAGCAGTTTCTGCATCTTCCTGACTATGGAGAAGAGTTAATTATTTTTTTGGTACTAAGGATTGAACCCAGGGGTGCTTTACACTGAGCTACTTCCCCAGTCCTTTTTATTTTTTATTTTGAGAAGGGTCTCACCAAATTGCTGAGGGTCTTACTAAATTGCTGAGGCTGGCCTTGAATTTACAATCCTGAGTTGCTGGAATTACAGGTGTGCACCACTACACCTGGCAAGAAATTACTTTTATACAATTGCATCTGTCTATACATATAGCTAGCTATCTGTCTTCTTCTCTATCATCTACCTACCTACCGTGTGATTTTTCTTAGATGTACATTTCTCCATTATATAAAATTTTGATACTTTGAAGAATTTGCATTATGGAGATGGGATTAAATCATTTTAGTTGATAAAAACATTTCATTTACATAACGAAATCCTTTAGGTTTTGCTTTTAAGCAACAATAATGGATGGATAAATGGTGATGGAGGGAGAGGGAGGGAGAGAGAGATGAAGAAGTGGGGAATGAGATATCTATATATATGGATGCCTGAAGCTTAAGTGAGCATCTGCAGTTTTACCGAAAGTTCACTTAATAAAAACTTGGGATGAAGAGAGGTTTTACAGCATAATCTTTGAGGAGGCAGCACAGTTAATAAAAGCACTGGATTTGGAAAGAAACAAAATAATTAAATCTCAACCCCATTATTCATTAGCTAGTTACTGGCCTAGTTATTCAATCTAAATAAACCTATACCGCCTTACAGAGTTGTTATAAGGATGAAGTTAAATGATATATGTAAAGTATCTGATACTTAAATGTTAGCTCAATAAATGTATTAGCATCAATCACTTCTCCACATCCCTTTCAATGTAAGCTTTGTTTCTGATAATTTAATACAACAGCTCCTAAGTACCTAATGATTCATACAATTAATGTAACTATTTCTCAGTCATCTTGGTATCAGTAAGGCCATTTGAGGTTTCTCTCAGGTAGTTCTACTTATCTATAGGGAGGAGAAGAAGGTCAGTATTTTTGGACACTTTTTTCAAAGTTGAAGATTCTAAACAATGCAGATTAAGTATCCGTAATCTAAAAATCCAAAATATGAAATGCTCTGAAAATTCTTTGACCAAAATCCTTCGAGCACAAAAGTCTGCAGATATTCCGAAATCCCCCAAACTCTGAAATCTGAAACACTCTGATCCCCAGAATTTCAGATAAGTGATAACCAGCAGTATTTGTGCCAGGGGACAATCTTAATTTTTTAAAAATGCAGCTATTCTGCTACACTAAATCTTTTAGAAACCCAAGAGGACCCAGCTATGATATTAATAATCCCAGCTATGATATTTTTTTAAACTGAAAAGTATTATGATTTCAGATTTGTATAAAAATGAATAAATTGAAAAACCAAAAATAAAGTATATATATTTCAAGAAGTTTGCTTTTATTAGTGATGATCACAAATGCTTAACAATTTGTTTTTACTTTCTTTGTAGTGTGTCTCCCAGGGCACCATGCTCACGTTGGAAAAAAATGCTTTTCTTAAAGGTGCACAAAAAGCTCTACTATACTCTTCCTATATCAGTATAAAAATGCAATAGCAGATTTAGATATATGGGATTGCCATTATTGCTGAAATAACATAGAGGCAGCAAGAAAATAAAGACTACAGAGAGCAATTATAATTTTCTCCCATAGAAAATGTCATGGTAATATGGCATATACAGAAAAGTTATATTTAAACTATTTTATTAAAAACAGAAAGAAGTACAGTACTAAAAGAGCACCTTAAATATAATGAAAGTTATAATAATAATGCCAGCTCTCATTTGTGAAGGACCATTATGGGAATTTTATATATAATTGATTTTTGCTTCAAAACAACTCTATGAAGTTATTCCCATATTACAGATTAGGAGATAAAGCTACTGCAAAGTGAAGTAACCTGCTCAAGGTCATATAGCTAGTTAAAGTAGAGGAGGTATGTGTACCACATTTGTTGGATTTCAAACAAACTAGCTGGATTTCTTTCCAAAGGGCTGAGGAAATGTAGCAGTATAAGCAAATATTATCACAAAACTTGTCAGACTTGGGAAAATTCTGTGCAATAAGAAAAGTGCCATTACTAGTCATGACATTATTAGTCATCACTGATGTCTACAAGCTGAAACATATTCACAAGACAATCACACAAGAAATGATAGGTAATACTTAGCTGTGAATAACTAAGTAATAACAGCCATTTACTTGAAGACTTATAAAATAAAAGCATTCATAAACCAAAAAGTGTATGCAGAATTTCACAAATTGAGTGTAACAAATCAAACAAGAAAGCTTACAATTTTTATTCTTGTTCTAGAATTCTGTTTTACTTTTTCCTCAAGTTCTTATCAAGAGAAAACTACCCAACATAACAAGCAGGGAATTTTTCCAAAATATATAAAAGATACTTTTATTTTGAGAATTTAAAATTGTCTTTAAGAATAAAGGAGAAAGTGAATTACAGAATGTACATCTGATGAATTCTGGAGGCAGAAATATTTGACATCTAAGTGTAAAACTAAAATCGAGTATAAAACTCTTTCCTTTTCTCAACTTGTTTTTTTGCAATTAAAATGATTTTACTCTCTCAACCCTAAAACTTCTGAACTAGAGTATAATATACTGAATATGCAATTTTAAAAAACCAAAATCATTATCTTTTTAGAAAGACATCAATATCCCTAAACCTGAAATATACTTAGGTGTATAAGAAATTTTTCATATGAAGTCATTAATCTTTAATTTGATCCACCTTTCTAAGAGAGTCATTTCTATAAGGTCCCTAGAACCACCCAACACTGCACTGTAATCTGGGTGGCTTGCACAAATTAACTCATTACTGAAAGGCAGAAAGAAAGTCTATAATCATGTGTGAGATCACTTATGTAATAATTTATTTTATCATCTCTATCCAAGAATATACTCACTGGAAGTGGTAGTGTACGCCTATAATCCCAGCAGCTTGGGTGGCTAAGGCAGAAGGATAGTAAGTGAGTTCAAAGCCAGCCTGGGCAACTTAGTGAGGCCCTAAGTAACTTAATAGGACTCTGTCTCTAAATAAAACATATATTTATTTTGTTTTATTTAGAGACAGGTTTCTCTCAGGTAGTTCTACTTATCTATAGGGAGGAGAAGAAGGTCAGTATTTTTGGACACTTTTTTCAAAGTTGAAGATTCTAAACAATGCAGATTAAGTATCCGTAATCTAAAAATCCAAAATATGAAATGCTCTGAAAATTCTTTGACCAAAATCCTTCGAGCACAAAAGTCTGGGGTGCTGGGGATGTGGCTCAGTGGTTAAGAATCCCTGGGTTCAATCCCTGGCACACCCCCCACCCCCCCCAAAAAAAACCCAAAATAGAATACACTCACCATAAAAAGTGAGGTAACCAAAGAGGGCAGATATAAAGTAAATGAGAAAACTTAAAGCAATTGCTGTATTGGTTACATTCTGCATTCTTTTCTTTGATGGGCTAAAAGACAAAAATGGCAAAGGTAAAACCAGTGATATGAATTATAGCTAAATAAACAAGTGTCTCCCAAATTAGTCAAGAAGATTCTTCAATCATTCAAGACCTAATCTATCAATAACTGCACACTAGAATTAGTAATGTGAAGTCAGCATAGGAAGATTACATTTCCTGGAAACATTCTTAACTAAGAATTAACTTGCTTTGTTTTATTTCATTTTAAATTAACACTTAGAATCTAGTGATGATATAAAGGGATTCATAAATGAAAGTGTCATTCAATCTGATGAAAGCCCTCCAGATAAAAAACCAAAAATATTTAATACATTTAAAATACTCCAGGATTCTACAGTACCTTTGAAGTTCACAGTATATTGGCAATACTGAGGTATGGCAGAGAAATGAAAAAGCCATGGTTGGTATAGCGTAAGCACTCTGAAAAAGAATTTTAAAAGACAATTAAATGCTATCCTATTGAAACAATTTCATTTGACAACAGTTCTTTTAAAAAATCAATGTATTTCATCTTTCATGAGTCATTTCTTTATAAGATTTTTTTTCTTTTCAGAGAGATATACCTATAGTCACCAGCAAATGTTTTACTTAGCTATATTAGGGAGAACATTTTTAGGCTGACTTCCCATACCATTTTGCTTTATTACAATACCGCTTCTACATTATTTAGGTAAGATAAAAATAGTTTAGGTAAAATAAATAATATTTAGGTAAGATTAAAAATTACACCTTAGAAATGTTCTCATTGCAATTCTCAGTCATTACCAATGTATGCACAATTTAAATACATCTTACTACCTTAAGCACTAGGCAATAATTGTTAATAATTTTAAATATGCTTTCACCAAAATGTAATCCATAATAAAATAATAATAAAGTGTTAACCATATCTTTGTACTGCAAGCATCTTTGATCAGGAGCTCTTTTAATAAGAATGAATGTCATTTATTCTAGACCTAAAAACTCTTTAAGATCCCATGGAATACATAAGCTTAAATTTTGTTTTGTTTTTATTATTAGAATACTTAACAAGAGCCAGAGGGAGCTATCAAGGAAATAAGTTACCATCTAAATAAAAATATGGCCTTTTCTCTTTTATGCTCTAAAAACATTTTCCCTTACCTAGCTTTAGGCTCTTCAGCAAAAGAAGTTCCAGATGAAGACCTATTTGGGGATATAATGCCTAGACTCCTAAAATATCTGAGAGGGGCTACGAGGAAGGAAGCTGTAGAGTTTCCTGTGGGTGGATTAGGGCATGAGAGTTTAATTCAAAAATTCTCAATTTCATACATTGCTTAATTTCCTGGCTTGTCAGTTACTCCACTTAGATCTTTAAGGCACAAGGAGGTCTTTACCACGAAAAAGATGTGGTAACCTCCCTTGTGGGGCCAGAGAGTCATTTCTCATTTACAAACTAGGAGATAAAGAAAAATTCTGCATGGAGGAGTATGCAGACTTCTACAGTATAAAGCTGCATATGAGTGGAGGGGTTCTACCATTTGGGACCTACAAAATGGCATTTTGGCAGAATTAAGACAGTGTAGAGGAAGAAACTTGCAGAAAAAAGGAAGACTTTGTGCTCCTCTACAAATATTTGTAAAGCAGAGACCATCCAGATCACAGTTCCTGCATCCTCTGCTGATGCTTAGGAGCTCTTACAGGCATTTTTGAGTATCCTATACCCCTTAGGCTCTTAGAGAAGGCAAGGGGACTTAGGTTTTTTAGTCTCTTTTTTGACTCCTGGCATCATAAATTTCAATTTTGGAATGTTGGTCAGAAGATATATTGGCAGTACTCAATTGTTGGTCCAATGATGAGGCTGCTTAGCTACAGACCAAAGTTCTACTCACAGGGGAGGAGTTTTTGATTGTAATTGGCTATTTAGCTTTACAAGTCCAGAGGGCAACAGGAAGTCTGTATCCACAGAGGACCTTATTGGCCAGACCAGACATTCGGTAAATCTGTTCTTTTAGGCAGAGGCCCATTTAAAACAGGCTCCATTTAAAGGCATGCCAAAGGGGGAAAAAAAAGGTGGCTGTTTCATAATGGGCCACCCTGTGTTAAATAATATTATTCTTCTGGTAGGCAATCCTATACTTAGCACATTCATGAAAATTAATTAGTTACAGGTACAAAGACCTAAGAGACCCTGTTACACAAATCTCTTAAAACTTGAAATGTGAAAAATCAACCAAAAGTATCTGTTAATAACTTACACACCTCTTTGGAGAAATGAAAGAGCTTTGGTTTACAATCATCTGTAGCATTTGAAATCTGTTTAAGAGTATTGAGGGGAAAAAGAGAAACCAACAGCTATTAAAAGTCAGAATACATCAACAAAAAATTAATTTTATCATTACTAGGCTTTCAAATCAAATTATTTCAAAGCAAAGTTCCAAACTGCATACAACCACTACTTCTTTATTAACAAGGAAAAAATTATTTGCTTGCCTTTTCCCCCTTTTTAGTTTAAAAAGGCAAACAATAACAAAACAAAAACTATTACCTGGAAGAATTCCTCTGTATGATTTAATGTCAGAGGACAAGGGATGGCCCATTTTTTTATTATTATCTGTAAGAATAATATAATCAGTACTCAGATTATTTCTAATAAAATTCATTGATTTCAGCTAGGTCAAAATTATTTTCATTAGTCTAAAACCATGCCAAACAGCTAACAGAAGATTCTTTGCTGGTAAGATTTTCCCCAGTTAGAAGGGGTCATCATTTAACAGTTACCTGTGGTAGGACCATGAGGGATAGGACAGAAGGTGTTTCACATGTGTTTAGTGGGGATCTTTTCCATTAAAGACTGGGGGTATTTCCTGTCAACTTTCAAAACTCCTACAGCATCAGTGTATTTTTTTTTTAAGTGTGACTCAAAGAGGGAATGTGTTTTGTCAATGGTACAAAAATATGATTATTTGTTTCAGTAGAAGTCAGAGAAATATTAATAGCAGGTTTGGAAAAGGCACAGGGAGAAATATGTAGAGACTTTATGTAAAGGCGGACCTCAGGGATTTCTGATGAATAAGTACTTTCACCCTCCTTACTTTTTCAGATTTGTATTATTTTTGGTGAATGTGGAGAAAGCTGGCTAGAATAAGAGCACATAACTAGGGAACTCCAGCTGGTAAAAATAAATTAAAGAAAAAACATTAAGCGAAACCCAGAGGGATGCTATTTCCCAGAAATAATCAATGAAAATGTTTCAGGATTTTACTCTTAATTGTGGTCATCCTGTTCCTGAACCTAAAGTTGTAGCTGTGTCAACATTACCATTGTTGCCGTTGTTTCAGGCACATAATTACTCTGTAAATGTTTGCTCCGGGCTGAATCCCAGCATACAAAGGGGCAAAGGAGAATAAAGGAAGTATTTGTCCTTTGCTGGAGACCAATAAGTAAACACTATTTCTATATGGTATTTATCTAGATTTTGGATCTTAGCAAATTAAATCAATACTTTATACCATGAAAAAACAAATCTAAAGAAAATATACACTTTTAGGATTAAGTTAATGAGTGAACTAAAGAGTCACTCTAAAATTAAAAATCTCACCAAGGAAAAATAAGGAAGGGAAAAAAATATAAGGATAAACTTGGCTAGCTGCTTTGACACTCCAAGGTAAGTTTTCAATACAAAATAAAACTCAATGATCAATTTACCAACAGGAAAGAACAAAATCAAAAGCATAATCTCACCATTTTTTTTTTCCTGAAAGGTTTTCAAAAAAAGGATGAGGATGAGGTAATGGAAAAGCTGGAGAAGCAAGGTCACTACTGGTCTCTATCTTTTGCCATGTTGACACAATTCCAAATTTAGTCTCTCACTTTTTCTCCTTACCAGCAGTGGTGCTGTTGGCAGCAAAAGCTATTTATTGAGCATTTGCCATGTACCAGGTATCTTTTTCCCCCTTTTAAAATAGAGATAAACTCATTAGCAGCCTTTTATATTAATATAAGTTCACCTAATTTCTGTGCAAAGATCCACCCCAAACCCAAGCCTGTGTAGTAGAATAGTGTGGCTAGAGATGATGTCCGACAAAGCAGCAGAAGAAAACAGAAATGCAAAGAGACCCAACCACAAACAGCAAATATTTATAAGGAGTTCTTGCTTGGGTTGAAGATAACACATGGTAATAAGATAACTCTTGGGGTTAGAAAAATGATTACTAGATTAAGTATTAAAAATATCTGTTCAATTGCACAAAAGGCCCTTCTTTCTTCCTGCTCCAAGTCCTTCCCAACTTTCAAGGCTCAGCTTATTTTACCTCCTTTCAAATTCTTCTTTACTCTAGCTCTCAGTGATTCTTCTCTCAACTCTTGTGACTCCTACTTTGAAGCAAATAAATCAGTATTTCATTAGGTAATACCTACAGTGTTTTCTAATAATTTAGTCTTATCTTTCCTCCTATGTTGATTGATCTCCCCTACTGGATTGACTAGATTGTAGTGACCATGCAAAACTTTCATACACTATCATACCTAACATAGTGCTTAATAGAAGAAAATCATTTAATTCTAAATGCTATTTATTTGACTATTGGTTTACTGAAATCCTACTTAAAACACTAATCTGTACTTAAGAGAAAAACTTGAAAAGAGTGGTAATCCATTTGTGTACTAAGACGGACCAAAAAAAGGTAGTTCTTTTTTTTTAAATGGTAAATCCATTTGGTTTCTGTCATTCCAAGCCATTGCTAAAGTGAAATTTATTTTTAAAAATTTTAGAGGGGAAAAAATATATGTCATATTTAAAAAAATATGGGTTAATATATATGCATGTATTTTTCCTAACTGCTATTTCAAAACCTAATACTTACTTTTGAATCTATAATAAATGTCAACAAAAAAGACCACTAAAAAAATTAGAGTGCATCTCATTATTCCATTGTAGACCAAATTTAAACTTTCCATAGGTAAAAATCTGAGCAAATGGTTTGTAAAAGCATTACAATAAATACAGAATAAGGGTAGTATTTCTATATGACAGTTACAGCAGAAATCTGTATTGAATTAAAGAGTATTTGTCATGACAGAAATGAAAACTATAGTAGACATATCATATCAATACATTTCACTTACTTCAAACTATTGACTATGAAAACTAAATTATTCCTACCAATGCAAAGAGAAATGTCAATTATCTATAAGGGAAAAAATTCACTGTTACCTACACTGATTCTCTTCAATACCTATATATTCATCATTTGCATACACAGGCACTTCTTTTTTTAAAAAATGCATTTATTTATTTGTTTATCTATCTATCTATTTATTTATTTAATGTGGTGCTGAAGATTGAACCCAGTGGCCTCACACATGCCAAGCAAACGTTCTACCACTGAGCCACAATGCTAGCTCCTATGCAGGGCACTTGTAACTATGCAGAGGCTTCCCAACAATCAACTTATGATGAAAATAGTTACTGTTTCTCTCTTCGATATAGAGCATACAAAGTGTATGTTCAATTCATTATTTGTCAGACAACTGTAGGAGGGATGATTTTAACGTTGGTAAATTCAGTAAATGTAAACACTATCAAATACTTTCAGATTTAAGAGTATTCATGGAAAATAATTACTATATACAGTGAAATCAGAGTCATTTCCACTTCATTAAAGTAATTTAATGCTATTTTATCCCTGTGCCTCAGAAGATGGTTTAACCAAAGCTAAGGCAATGCACCCGAAACTGTTTTGACAGTTTTGAAATCTGGTTCTGTAATATGGTTTAACTATTGATGTATTGTCTTGCTTATAGCATGACATCTGCCTTCTATTAATAAGTAAATAACAAAGAGAAGTTTAACCAAATTTATGAAGAGATTATTTGGGCATATATATATTCTTGGGAAACTAAATGTTAAATTCTATTTAATGTTTACTATTTAGATACTGACTGTGGAATAAAATGCTATGGAAAGAAAAAAAGGGTTTAAAAATTTTACATGAAGATATTATCTTTATAAAAATGTTTAAGATCTGCTTTAGAATAATAAAAAGGAAACAAGAAATTTAAATTCTATTTTATCTTTATATTATTTTATAACTATCAAAATAAGTTAAATTTAACATCAGATATTTTCCTTTCATAATAAAAGTGACTAGTTTAAAATAAGAAAGACTATATCCTACATATAAAGAATAATATTTATTCCCAGTACTATTTTCATAAGAACTTATTTATACTGAATAACCAGGGTAGAGAGGAAAAAATTTAAGCAACCTGGTTCTTATTAGATATCCTTGGTAAAGTCCTAGAAACTCTTGTTTCATCAATCAAACAAAATTTCAAAATTAAGATGACCAGTACCAAACTGACTTTACAGATTAGAGCCGACTGTTTCTTCACACAGTGTTGTACATAAATAAACATATACACCTACACAAAGAATTCTATTCCATCTAGAGTTTTAACAAAATTGGTGTGCTCTTCTCTCTAGTTAACAGTAGGTGATACAGAATTTGAGATTCTACTCCAGCTAAGCTTCTTTAGAATGAATGCAACGAAGGAGATAATTTTGTGAAAATTATTAAATTCTTTTGTGAACAAAACTACTTTTAGTAACATACTAAATGGAATGGGCTAACTTCCCAGCACAAAACAGACTTAAAAGAAAAAAAATCATTAACATGAGTCCAATTTTAGGGAGGAGATAAGCAATGCATTATATTTTAAACTTACCACAAGAGCAAAGAACACCATAAAGAAAAATGATAAACTACTTGTGTAGCCAAGAAAGCCTGTAAAATAACAGTAAAATAAAAAGCAATTTATAAGGAAAGTGATCCTAAACGTACAGCTAAAGCTATACATCTTGGGCATGTTTTCTATTATAGTGCTTGGTATCTGGGGCTTAAGGCTCAGAATAACAACATTCCAACTATCTGTCACAGATCATTTATGTAGCTCTGTACAGCAGAATTGGAACTGGCTTACCACTAATGGTACACTGTAAGGAAAGGCTGCTCTTTAATGTTCTGCTGTAAAGATTTTATTTTAGTGGGGCAGACAAAATACTACTGCAAACCAAGTAATAGGTTAACTAGGCAGGGTTGAAGGCTGAACAACCGAAAATAAGGCCAAATTTAAATTATTCACCACCACCACCTTTCTGCTAAAAATGTGGTACTATGAAATTTAAAAGCCTCTTAATATTTCTCTCTCTCTTCTAAACAAATTATGTTCTCTTCCATAAAGACTTACCTATTTTGGGAAGAAGAGCAAGAGGGAACACTATGCCAACACAAATAATTATTAGTAGTGTTTGTCCATCCAGATACCACGACCTATTAGGGAAAAAATTCTGTTTTAGCCACAGAACTCCAGTGTTTGTTCTTAGATGTGTGTGCACATATATTACAACTATCACGAAAGGCCTACTTCCTTTTGTTAAAATGTTCTTATGGGATCTTATTATTCTTATTAATGAATTTACATTTAGGTAATATACAAAAATAATTTTTAATTACCAAAATAACATTCCACTGAATATTCTGTGATGAAAGTAAATATTGGGTATATAGAATTTTCTCCTGTTTCATAACAATATTGCATTCAACAGTTCTCATGCAGGTAGAATTTTTTCTGTTTTAGATGATTATCTTAGAATAGAATGCCATTATAAAAATGCTACTGCTCTTCAACCACCATAATTATAACTGCTTAAAAATAAGATAATAGGGCTGGGGTTGTAGCTCAGTGGTAGAGTGCTTGCCTCGCATGCGTGAGGCCCTGGGTTCCATCCTCAGCATCACATAAAAATAAATAAATAAATAAAAATAAAGATATTAAAAAATAAATAAAATACAATCCTTAAAAAAATTAAGATAATAGTCAATGGTAGTGAGAAGGGATGAGGTGTGCAAAAACCTGGTAAAAGTATAAACTACATAAATTACCTTTATGGAATGAAAATTTGCATAGATAATGAGAGCTTTCAAATAATTGAACACTTTACCACTTAAAAAAGACTATTAAAAATAAAGAAGCAATCAGAACAAAGATTTTTGTACAAGCTTATTGAAAATATTTAAAATGGTAAAAACTGGAAACAAACATCTAACACCACTACAATTCTGAAATAACAATATGTTGAATATTCACTAAACATAATATGTGTATATATATGTGTGTGTGTATAGCATGATACTATTTTGAAAAAAAATATGGATGCATTAAAAATTGAAAGGAAGTATAGTGTATTGTTAGCCATTTTCTCTTAATGTGGAAAAATGGGTAATTTTTCTTCTTTGTAGTTTTCTATATTTTTCTAAAGTTTCAGGATAGGGAATGAACTACCAGCTCAGAAAATATTACAATCTACATATAAAGATGTTAGAATAATGAGAGGGAAAAAAGATCAGTTAGTGTGATTATGTATTTGTTCATTAAAAACAAAAATCCAGCACAGCAAATAAAGAATAAAAACTGGATGTTCATTTTTAAAATGCCAAAATGATACACTTAAAATACCCAAAGTAGATATTTCTATATGGTAGCAATATGAGCAATATTTATTTTCTTCTTGTTTGCATGTGTGTGTGTGTGTATGTACTCTCTCTCTCTCTCTCTCTGTAATATTAATATATATATATCTCAATATAAAATTCATGTATAGAAATTTTTAAAACTTAATTTCCCAAGACCTTAACAGATTTGTATGTAAAGGACAATGAAAGATGGGCAGGGGTTGTGGCTCAGTGGTAGAGCACTTGCCTAGCACATTCGAGGCCCTGGGTTCGATCTTCAGCACCACATATAAATAAATGAAATAAAGGTATTGTGTCCAACTAGAACTAAAAAATAATATAACTAGTGAATATATATGAAGAAAAAATCTAATCACTGGCTTTAATTAAAGAAATAATCACTTTGTTAAAATTAAACTAGTACAATGATTAAAAGATAATATTGAAGGATGTGTGTATGATGTATGTCCATCATACATGCTACTGATCTTGTCAATTAGTAGTCTCCTCTCAAAAACAACTGTCAATATGTAGCAAGTACAATAAAAATGTAGTGGTAATCTATTCTAAGATAACCATCTAACCCAGAAACAATTCCACTTGCAAGAGAGTTGTTGAATGCAACACTGTTATAATATTAAGAAACAGGAGAAAATTCTATATACTCAACATTTAGGTTTATAACAGTATATTTAATGGAATGTTATGCAGCTTTTAAAAAAATCTAGTAAAATGGAAAATGCTAATGATATGAATACAAACTATATGATTATTAACTATAAAGAGCTGGGAGAATTCAAAGAAAATAGAAGATTAGAAATTAGGTAGCAATAATATTATATATAATTTATCAATTTACACTTTTCTAAATTTTCTGTAATGAAGCATAACATGCCCAAACACATGCACAACAGTAATAAAATAAAATCCATGCTAAAATGGGAACTGGGTGTATCAAAGGGCAACAGGGAGTTTTTCAAATCATTTAGTAGATGATCTTAGAATTCACTTTGCAATAATGCATCATCTTTCACTCTCAAAAGGTAGCCAAAGCCGTCCACTTTCATTTTAAATTAAGAAAGTGTTTTCTTCTACCTGGGTTTCAACCTCTGGCTTCTAATATGGACTTTATGATTCAGTGCACATCCTTCACATCTTAGTTTATGAGGAAGTCCTTCCTCTCCACAGTACTTTGAATCAGTCCTATTGGGTGCCACCAACTTCCTCTTTGATCATACTTTTTCCTTCCCTACCTACCCTAATTTGTGTCCTTAGGACATGCATGTGCCAGAAGAGATAACCTATGCACAAGTATTTTTAGTAGTCACATACCTGAACCTATGCTTGCTACATGTGCAAGTGCCCCTCAATCCTTTGTATGCAGGAAGTACAAAGAAAATACACATATTAACAATATGAAATGAAAAGAAAAACAATATGAAATGATACTCAACATATCTCTTTTCTAGTTACTCTTAAAATTTAAGAACCAAATTGGAACTTCAAAATATCTCTCACTGAGGAACACCTGGCAACTAAATTTCTGAAAGTGGCAAACAGCCCAAGGCTCTATATCAGACTCAGACAGTTGCAGTGACAGGAGAAAAAAAAATGCCCAAAGGAGCACTGGTGCAGACTCCATCTGTCAGTTCTGCTGTCCCTGATAGGTAACAATACTGCATTGTATATTTAAATGTCTGTCAAGAGGTATATTTCATATGTCAAATGTTCTTACCATAATAAAACAAAATAAAAAATCATTATAAACCAATCAGACTCTTCAAAAGTAAAAACAAAACAAAATGACATGAAGGAAGAATTGTACAAAAGCGAGTATGCTAATCCCCAGAGTAGGACTCTTTTGCATAAGATAAAAGAAGCACTTTGAAATCCTGAACAAGAGTTACTTCATATTATTTCAGATCACAATTCATATATGTCCATAAAAATCACATTACTGACCAAAGCACTGAACTGTGGGTCTGAAGATAACTTTACCTCTTCCCAACAGTAACTCAGAATTAGAGTTATGGAATGTCAGAGCTTGAAAAAAACTTAAGAGATCATCTGGTTCAGCAGCTTCATTATGTCTGTGAAATCAGCAACTGGATGACGATGATTTTGAGAGTAGCAATGGAAAGAAATATTCTCTAGTCTTCAAAAATTACTATAAGTTTATGGTACTTTTCAGATACTACATCATTTATTTCAAGATCATGCTTTTCACAGGACTGAACTTTAAATTCTCTATGAGAAAAGGATTTTATTGTAAACAGAATTTTTCTATCCCTGGCTTGGCTATTGGTTATCATTAATCATTTCTTATCCTTATTAATATATGTAAATAAAGGCAATTGTAAAGAGAGTGCTTTCTTTACCATTTGCTCATTAGAAATAAAGGCAATATAGTGATATAACACAGTAAAGTTAGTTTAGATTTCAAGTATAGGTCATAGTCAATTGTCTTAGCCTGAAAAACATAAACCAATAAAATTTCAAAAAGTACATATTAAATATTTTTTTCATAAACCAAGATTTTAGAAAAATATATTAATCTATCTAACAGAACTCCTGTTTTCCTACTATGATCTAAATACACATTCTCTTTAAGCCAAAAGAATTAGAGTAAAAAGTTTTATACTTCCTAGAAAACTTGTTTGATCTGTTGATTTAATCCTGTATGATAAAAATGTTACAAGTATGAAATATAGAGTATAAATCCTTAGCAGTATTGTAAATGCTTTGGCATGCAGATGTTTTTTCCATTTTTTTAATGAAAACCAGATTTATTTATAAGTTGCTTTAATTTCATTCTTGAATGGAATGGAACAAGAGTATCATATGTTCTGAATTAGGATCTTACTCACATCCCATATCAATTATGTAACTCAAATGCAAGACAACTTAATTGTGTCAATCATATTCCCCTGACAAGATCATTAAATGTTAACAGAGAGCTTCCAACTTTTAACAGCCATAGATTTAAAGAATATAAGTTATTCTAAAAAAAAAGATATATCATGAAAATTCAGTGTAAGTATTTATAGACCCTCATCGTTACACAAAATACATGTATGAAGATGTGAATTTGGTGTCAACATGTCTTATATATAGAGATATGATAAATTGTGGTATAAAGGTGTATTAAGAATTGAAAGGCAATAATAATAATAATAATTATAATAATAAGAGAGCTCATGTAAAAAAATTTTTAAAGAAGTATTTATAGCTTCTGATTTTTAATAGTAATTTTTGAAATTAGAATATAATGAGTATAAAATTCTATAAATGTTTATGTCATAAGGTTATGCCAAGCCCACAGATAACTCAGAAATAAGTATGCCTGAAAGATCTTCATTGGAATTTATAGTAAGTCAAAACCTAAAATAAAATCCTATCAATATCATATTGACCTCATAGAAAAAAATACTGCTATTTAACTCTATCTAGAAATAAACTGCCCTAAAAGATAGTAAAGTCGACTATATTTGCTTAAACTATTTTTACACATTAACCTTTGAAAATTTTGGTGTCTTTTAACCAATTAATATAGTCACTTATTAAGTGTTTCAAGACTTTGAAATTCAAAATAAGTGAATATTTATTATGGCGAAAACAACATGAGGTCATTAAGTGCAATTTTAAACATAAAAGAGATGATGCAAACTAGCCACAGTATTTTGAAGTATACATTTTTTGAAAAACCTGTTTCTGACACAAATATAACATTTTAACTAATTTTTTACTTATATGAGTGAGGAGAAATAAATTTTAATTTTTAAAACAAAAATTTAAAACAAACCGGAAAAAAACCAATAATGTAAATAGCAATTGATTTAAAATGAAGTTGATAAAAAGGTCAGTTTAGAGATAGAAGACCTAAGATTCAAATAGTTCTTCCACATAGTACTTTGTTTCTAAAACTACATTTCTCTTTCCATAAAGACGTATGACAATAAAAATATAAATAGAAGTCACAAAATTCAGGACCAAAAAAAAAAAAAAAGGAAAACAGACAACTATTAGGATTAACATAGATTAATGATACATTCAAATTTGACTGAGCTTCCTGGCAGTTTGAGCAAAAAGAGAAAGAACATCTTCAATACAGTTACTATCAATGAAATTTCTTAATTCTCCACATTTACGCTATATTATATGCTTAAAGGCATGTATTTGTACAATATCTTATTTCACAATAATTTTTGTTAAGGCAATATTGGTAACCCAATGACACCAGGTAAAGAAATCTAAGGCTCAAAGTTAGGTAACATGGTCAAAAGAAGTTAAACGCCTGAGGTTATTAATATGAAATGAATAGAACATGCTTCATTCCTCTTGGTTGCGCATTCTTCGTTCTACTTCATGTTGCCTTGAATTCTTAGCTTTATATTATCAAATAAATTTCTCACATAGAATTTGAATATTGGAAGCTATCCTCAGTATTCTTACAAGCAAATACAAAAGTGAATTTCAAATAACTATTTCTTATTTAAATCAGTTATCAAACTAAGCATAAAATCAAAATGTAATGATATAAAGCTGAAGATAAATCAAGGTCATTGTATCAGATGTGACAATGAATGTGTACACCTCATAAACTATAAAGTACTCTAGAAGGACATTATCTTCTTATGATGAGAAAATATTAAGGGTTTTTATGACCTTTTTTCCAACCACTTTTTCTTGATGATTCCTATTCAGATCTAAAGCAAAAACACCCTCCTTAAACACCCTCCTTACCAATATGTATCTTCATTTGTCTAAGTAGAATTCCTTAATGGAAACTATGTTGTCAAAGCTGAAAATTAAATTTTGAAAACATTCCCTGCAATTACTGGGGCAAAACAACCAAATAGGGCTGGGGATGTGGCTCAAGCGGTAGCATGCTCGCCTGGCGGGTTCGATCCTCAGCACCACATACAAAACAAACAAACAAACAAACAAACATGTTGTGTCAGCCGAAAACTAAAAAATAAATACTAAAAACAAAACAAAACAAAAAACCAACCAAATATATAAACCTAAAAGCTTGCTGAGTTTTATGTAGTGATTTGAAAACTGTATAAAATAACTTGACAATGAAAAGAATTTATTCTGTCTTTTCAAGTTCATTTTTCAAAAAAAAAATCTTGTTCTATATAAGGAAAGGGAAAGCATAATTAATTTTGTTTTTTTCCCCATAAAAATGAGATACATCAATATAGTCTATAGGACTCAGACATTTTTAAATAAAGGAGAAAGTATATTGTGTTTTGGTGTTACTCGCATTAATGTCAAAAAACAGAAAATGAAATAAGTCCTTATAAACAATTTTTTAATCATGCTGTATAATAGAAATCTCACACAGATATATTTGTAACTTCACATTCTTTGTTACTGTGATTTGTTGAGAAGTGACAGCAGAATTTTTCACTTTTTCGTGTTTAAGACCTTTATTATCAGTACTTTTAATCTCCTCCTTGCCCCCACCCCAATCTTTCATATCCTCAGAAATTTCTCCTTCACTCTTCTCCAAGAGTTCTCTCTGACCGGTCTTGTCCTCTCTCACACCCTGAAGGAATGCAAGGGCTTATTTGGTGCTTCACCAAATACACTACTGAGCTTTGTACGCAGTGGGTAATCACAAAAATATATGCAGAGTGTTTTCTCCTTTATTACTATCTACCCCACCTAATCTACAAATGTCTAAATGACAAGGAATACATTTGTTTACCTTGGCACTACAGCTTAATAAATATTTATTGAATTAATAAATGAATGGACACAATGCGAAATATTTGTCTTACCCACTATAGTCTCCGGTCAAAAATTCTGAAATAGCAGCAGGAAGCTCTGTTTTAATAATTAAAAGATAAGATGACATAGCTGCAAAAAACAAAAAAGAATTTCTATTAAAATTCCATAATTTTTAACCATTTAAAGAGTAATCTCTCCAGGAACACAGATGTCCATTAGAGATAGGATGACATATGAAAGACTACTTCATAAGGTACCATCCCAAAGACATATATACCAGGAACAGAGATAAGTAATTTTGTAGAGAAGAATAATTGGGTAAGTACATTAAGTATCCTTTGTTTATATTTCAAATCTAGAGGAAAAAATTTAGATAAAAAGGATCTTGATTATAGATCACTTTATAAACAAAATTTTGTTTGAAGTTTTGCAAAAACTCTCTTACACATTATTTCCCATCTAAGGCATCAGAGGTTAGTTTAGTAACTGACATAGAAACAGAAGTTTAACAAGTAGGCCAATAACTTTGATAATTTTTCCTTTGTTACTAGGGAGAAACACCCTTCCAACAAGTCTGGTTCCCTCTCTCACTTGCTCTTCCTCTATTTGCTACCCACCCCCACACTATGGACACAAGTTATTATAAGGCAAATATAGAACAATCAATTATATTCAAAATTGTCCTCTGAAACAGATTAGAAAGATCCACTAGAAAGCATTACGTAAACTAAAGTTATAGAATCCCCAATTTTTACTCCACTTTTACTCATCTGCATTATGTAATCAGAACCTGAAGTTAGTAATAGTTCTCACATTTTATCTGACAGGATCCAAGAAATAACTAGTTTTTATATACTTTAATAATTATATTATTGCTGATATAGCCATAAAAACAAATTCTATGAACCTTCCATTATTAACATGGCTACAGAATACAGAACTCATTTATCTACAAATTCTTAAGTTTAAGCTTAAATAATTAAGTATAAAAAATGTGGATGATTTGGAGTTAGAACCTCAGTTTAACAGAGCAAGAATCTCTCTTCCCTCAGAGATTAAGAATATGTTTTAAAAAAAATAGCTAATGAGGAAATGTTCATGAAGAAGAAAGAGTGTACTCTGTGTGCACATTAATTTTATTACTTATTTAGATTTCAGGAAACATTTCACTTTCTCCTTGGACCTATAAAAACCAAGAACACAAATGAATGCCAAGTCTGAATGATAAAAATCTGGGGAAAATTTGATGAGAAGCTTCAATAGTTTAAGAAGAATGTGCATTTCTCAATTAATCTATTAGAAAACTAGCTGAATTTCTCCATGATTACAATGCCATCCGACCACTTTAACTTTAAAAAAAGGACTCCCATTAGTTTGTATGTGAATCTGTATGAAGATAGACTATCATTCACATTTTTTAAAGTAAAATAACATGCATCTATGGCAAAGTAAAATTTAGAATAGTTAAATAAATAATCACTTCTTTATAATAAAAATATGCATATACATATTTTTCAGTTCATGGGTGTTTCTTTTTCCCCAGAAGAAATGCAGCTGATGATTAAAACCTACTAAGATGTTTCTTCAAACTCTTTTACTTTAGGATACTACAACTGATTAGATGTGAAAACGTGTTCTAAGTTATTCATATTCTCATAATGAAAAATGTCTTCAATTCAGTACAGAACAGAAGCAAGGTTTATATTAACCTCCTCCACTAAAGGATTTGGAGTCTCTACCATATTTTATCTATTTCAAAGAACTATACACATGTGGTGCAATGATAAAAATCATGAGTTGATTTTTTCCAAAACTATCCTAAAACTAGAAAGAGAGAGAGATTGGAAGAGAGAGAAAGAGACAGATATTCAAACAAGGAATGCAGACTTCCAACACAACGTAATTTATGATCTGCCCATCAGTCTTTCTTGCTTGGATTAATCCAACACCACATGCATTTCTAAAGTTTCAGACATTCATCTCTTTCAGTAATTTTCTACTATTTCTTTTGGATCTTTCATTGTAAAAAGCTTCAATGAATATGAGATCAGATTTCTTTCTAATATACAATCTGTCATTCTTTCCAGAATTTCTATTAGCCCCTGGCTAATCATTTGATCACTTTTATCCTCTGTTGTAGCCTTAACTCTTTGGCTTTCAAATGGGAGTCCTGTTTCATTAGATTCCAGTCTGAAGAATCATGTATATTTTAAGAAATATGAACTCACCAAACACATGTTTCTCTCTCTCTCTCTCTCTCTCTCTCTCTCTCTCTCTCTCTCTCTCTCTCTCTCTCTCAAAAAAAAAAAAAGACTTCAGCTTACAAGACACGAATATAGTAAAACACGCAAATTACTGCTTCTTTCTTAGAGAATGCTGGCATATGTTTTAAAAGCTACAAAACCACAGAGCTTACCATGGGGGGAAAAACCCTACTGATTAAGCAAGTAAAACAAAGAAAGACACTACTCTATTCACTGTCAAAATTATTTTTTCTTAACCACAAATAAACTTTCATGCAAGGACTAGTACCTTAACATATTATATTACATATAATACAGAGAAGAAACAAAAAAGATTACCAAATGCACATAAGGTTAGGAAATACATCTTAACTGCATCCACATAAAAAGAACAATCTGTTCAATAAAATGAGCTGGAAAAGTTTCAGAGATATAATACCAATTGGAAAGTTCATATATCCATTGTTTTTAACCAAAAGGTTCACCAGGTCTAATAGCTGGTTGCCATATCTTTTGTCTCATGTCTTTAATTAATAGCATAAGGAAATGTTTAAAGACTTATCTTAGAGACAGGTCATAAGCAAGAATTTGTAAATGATTATTGCTGACATCAATACACAGTGTAGACTCCCTAGTACAAGACACAACATGTTGTAGTCCAAATTAATGGCTGTAACAGGGTCATCCATAAGCACCACAGTTATGGTTAAGTAGTTCTGAACTCCATATCACCAAAGCCAGTATTAGTGCTAGAAGATATACCTTGATGACAGTTACTCAGCCATTACAAATCATTTAGTTTCACCACATTAACTAAATAGATATTCTTTTGTCTTTCATTTTAAACATAGCTAATAGAACTCATTTCACAGAAACTGCCCTGAGAAGGAAATTTAAAAATCTGTCAACTAATCAAAACACAGAAATTGAAAGCATTCTTTAAAAATCACGTGGAGAAACAACTGCTACATTAATAAAGGACTAAAATAGGGTAAAATTAGATTAGGCTATAGTAAGTAGTAAGGTATTAATATTGGTTGACTTAATCATAAAAAGAAACACATGAGCTGAGCCATGAAAGGTTGAGGAAAGAGATGCAGGAAAAAAGTGGAAGGGGCTCAGCAGGGACATCCAAGAGAATAGCCAAACTTTTTGAATTCTGGATGCCTATTAAATGCCTGGCAGTATTCTAAATGATACAGAAGTTGCTTCCTCGTTAACTTTCACACATACCTCAGAAGTAGATATTATTTATTTCACAGATAAAGATATAACAGCACAAAAAAGCAATAATATTTAAGCTAGTGATAGCTGGTGTCTCAAGTTTCTTGGCTTGAGAAACTTGCTTAATTAGTATGATATGAGCAAGTGCAGGAGAAAAGTGAAGCAATCAGCCAAAGTATAGCAAAAATGAAGAAAGTCTATCAAAAGGACCATTCTCCAGAATTCCTTTTGAATTCTTTTCATTAGCACTTAAACAACAAACTGCTGAGTTTAATAGTGGTTCAAAGAAAATAAAGATGAATGACATTAGTCAGAAGCTTTATCTACACTATAATTTTCATTTCACCTTGAGATGTATTTTCAACTTTGTAGCTGGTTTGGCAAAGTGATTAGTTCAAAATTCACTGTTTCATCACAGGACTTTATTGCATCTACCACCATGAGCGGACTGCGTACACAGCTATGATTATAGTTCTGAAGTTTCCTATTGTCATATATTTGAGATTTAATACTGCTTGGAAATCTAAAAAAATCAAAACAAAAATCAATCCCTCTGACCCCAAACTCCATACTCTTAGAGACTATTTTTTCACCAGCACTCTGAAAATGCTTTTCAATTTGTCACTAGTTAAACATACAACCTTAAGAAAGGAAAGACTTATTGAGCTTGGACCTAAGAAATCATTAGTTTACAAAGATAATTATTCATTTTGTTAAACAGTTAAAATACATGTGTGAAGAAAGGATTACTTACAGCTGTTTTAAAAATAGAATTATGTTTTCAGCACTTGGGGGGAGTTCAGCAACTTCTTACAAGGATTAGTCAGTCAGCCCTAAACAAACAGATGTACTATGGGAGGAAATAATAAGTTTGCCTTTCCATTTAAGAGACATCATTTTATTTCAAACTTATTTTTAGTCATGGATAATAATGGGTTTATTCAACATGTCTTATTAACCTGGTGCTTCCACTAAATGTAGAAATACCACTGAAATTCTATCCTCACTTAAACCATATACAATTTCTCTGTTTGTAAAATATTTTTAAAATAAATACGAAAACAATGTCATTTCCCTAATTTGCACAAAATGTAAATCGAAATATATGATGGAAAGTATTCCTCCACAACCTTAAAAAATACTTTGTTTTATCATGTATCAAGACCTTAAATTTAAATAGAAAGTGATCAGAAAACCTACTATTTTGAAAATCTCATAAACTTCAAAAGAAACCATTACTTGGGCTGAGATTGTGGCTCAGCGGTGGAGCGCTCGCCTAGCACAGGCTGGGCGGGACCCGGGTTCGATTCTCAGCATCACATAAAAATAAAGGCATTGTGTTGTGTCCATCTACACCTAAAAAATAAATGTATTATTTTTTTAAAGAAACCATTACTAAGAAATACACTGTTTTGTAAGCCTCTTTAAAATAACATGTTATTAGTAAATTTTGTCAAAGGAAGTAATTTCGAAAAAGACTTTCCTTCCAAATTTCCTGTACTTCTATTTTGAGTCAGTGTTTTCTAGAATTTTGCACAATTCTGCCCCAGCCGACCCAAAGTTGCAGTTTGACTACGGATAAACTGACCAGCAGATGGCGATGTAACAGCGTGCCCAGTCCCAATTTCCAAGGGACAATAGGAATTGAAATCCGACAATACATCTAACTCTTACTACTTTGACTATACTCCACCTTCCCCCTCCGCCCCACCAAGAATAGAGAAAGAAAGTAAATTCAACTTGCTTAATAATAAATTTTAAATATGTCAAATACTGAGAATTTGGGATTTTTTTATAGTTCTCAACTTAAAATGATTTTATTTATACTTTCCTGTTTATAAGATTTAGAAATTGTATTAAATGAGTATATAAAGGATTGGTGGGTTTCTTTTAAACCATGGATTCACAAACTGATGGGGCTAATCAAATCTGCTAGAGTAAAGTTTGTGTGTTCTGTGCCAGAATAGAAAATCTGGGTCATTCTAAGCAATTTTAGGAAATTTCAGTAAGACTACTGTTTAGGGTTCTCTAATACATAACAATAATAAAATATTTAATCTCCTTTGAGAAACTGAGGCTTTAAAGGACTAGGAAAAGAATATGCTATCTCTGGTAGTCCTTCATATTTATAAAAACAAAATGAGTAGTTTAACATTCTCCCAGGAGCCACTCAAACTTCCATGTTCTGAGTTGGGCAAAATAAGAAATAAGAAATAATACAAATTGACTTCACTTTTATCATGTACCTATAAGAATTAATAAGACTTTCTCTGGCTTAACTATAATGAAATGGGGTTTACTGTTTCATTTCTAGTGATCTTTTAGTCTACTAAATAGTCTTTCTCATGAGTTAAATTGAATATGAAAGTAAATACTTACCTTAATTTTTAGGAAAAGAATCAATGCAACATAGTAAGAGAAACTATCTTGAAACTACCTACACTTATTTTCTGCTACAATTCTTAATCCTTTTATGGTTAGCTAATCAAATTCAAACTCTCTAAATCAGGATTCTCTTGCCGAACCACAGCATTCAATATTAAAATTTCCAGACACCTCTTTTCTGACTCTGTCCTGGCAGCAATGGCTCTCAGCAAATGCTACTCCAGTTTCTGCAAAAACAGGCTGCAGAGGGTTACCTCTGGAAATGGCCTACTTCAGGGCCCTAATTTGTTACTGTTGAGAGGAGATCAGGAATCACTTTTAAGCAATATTTTTCCATACGGGTCTTCATTTTCCAAAGGCAAAGCTTCTTATAATCCTAAAATAAGGGTTCTAAATTTAATGAGTTGCATTTTTTTCCATTGTAGAATTTAAAGATTATTGACAACAGTTGATTTTTTTCAATCAATTTGTAAGGTCTCATAAGGGCCCTGTGACTAATACTTGGTGCCTGATTGATCTTGGGGGATTGAGATTTTCTGTGAAGCTCTGACAGTAGATTCTTCCTGAAAGAAACTATATGCTCACTTATATACTCTGTGGTCTTTTCTTCCTGGACAATCAATCATTTCACTTTTTCCTCCAAGGGATACTAAGCTGGATCACTAGCTTTCCCCTCTCTCTCTTTGTCTTTTATTTCTTGCTTTCTTCTTATAATAAATACTACTTACTGAATGCCAACTATGTACTAGTAGTTAGGATATAAATAAATTAGTAAATTACTTTTATTTATGAAATATGGAAATAGAGGGAATAACTGGGCCTTTGCTAAAAAATCATTGCAACAAAGATTGACAAAGAGCAATTTATCATGATTTTTGCCTTTTAAGGCCTATCCCATAATTTTTTTTCATAAATTCACCAAGGGCCTCATATACTAAGAAGAATAAGAAACATGTTACAAAGGATAAGAGTTAGGAAGCATTAATCTAAGATATTATCACTTAATTGAAAATGAAGATGCCTCCTCATTGACTGTTCCTGCATTAAAATGTTAATGCCTGAATTAATATGCCTCCCAGTGCCAAATTAGAATCCCAATGTTTATAAGAAGGGATTCTAAGCTCCATACTTTTCACCCCCAATAATTTAACGAAGAGAAGAGTGAATGAGTTCCTTCAGACACACACCTATCCAATGGCAGAGACTGGAGTACACAGAATTCAAGGTACTTCACTTTTAACCCAGTGCTCTGCCCATAAGAGTAAGCTTCAGATTCCATTATAATAAAAGAATATTGCATATCTGTCTAAAAATAAGAAAACTTTGTAAAAATATGTTTTTGATTATTATTCAGTGGGCTTTCAATAAATAAACTTAAATGATGTGAAGAAAATAATGAGGTTCATCCTAGAAACTAAATAATGCCAGGCGTGATGGCACAGGCCTGTAATCCCAGAGGCTTGGGAAGCCGAAGCAGGAGGATCATGAATTCAAAGCCAGCCTCAGCAAAGGCAAGGTGCTAAGCAACTCAGTGAGACCCTGTCTCCAAATAAAATACAAAATAGAGCTGGGGGTGTGGCTCAGTGGTCAAGTACCCCTGAGTTCAATTCCCCGTACCACCACCTCTTCTCCCCACAAAATTACGACGACTGCTTCTAAATTTTTTTCAAAAAATTCTAAAATAAGCAAATCAACTAACTTGGAATTTGGAAAACTGATGATTTATATACCATCAAATTCAAGATTTTGAATTTGAACATTCTGTCAACTGACCAAGCCAGTTCTGTTTGAATGTTTTCAGGAATAAGAACACCTTAAAGGAGTATAGGTCAACCCTATTATCACACAGTTTAATTATAAGGGTATTTGCTATGGTCTGAATGCTTTCTATAAAGCTTATGTTTTAGAAACTTAATCCAAAATACAACAGTGTTGGGAGGTGGGGTCGAGTGAGAGGTGTTTAGGTCAGAAAGGTTCCATTCTCATGAATGATTTAGGTACATTGTAAAAGGGCTTAAGCCTACAAGTTTGATGTACCTCACCACTGTGATACCTTCACCTAGCAATAGGGTCCTCACCAGATGTGGCCCTTCAATCTTGGACTTCAGAGCCTCCAAAGCCAAAAAAGTTTCTGTTCACTTTAAATTACCCAGTCTGAGATATTCTGCTAAAGGAACACCAAACAGACTAAGATAGATTTCTAGATGAATCAACTACTCTGTAGATGTCTATTAGAACCAGTTTTGCCCTCTCTTTTTCATTATTTCATTTTAGCCTTTCAAATATGTGAAGCTGGTGATATATATAACATTTCCCTTTTTTCTTCTTGATAAATATATTCAAAATATTAGAAAGTACTTGGAGATAGCTCATACAAATCATTTTGGCTCCATTCAGTTCAAGAAAGGTTTATCAGGTTCCAGTATTGTGCTGGTTGCTGAGAGAAGAAAGAGAAAATGATACACAATCCTTGCCTTGGAGGAGATTACGTGAAGGAGAGAAGCATATTCGGAGATGTCAATCTAATAATAGCAAGTGCCAAATTAAAGTCATGTCTAAACAAGATTATGAAACAAGAAAGAGACCAGCTGGAATACACAGAAAGATATAAAATGGGCATTGTGGCAAGGTCATGAATTTGGAACCAAATTCCTAAACTGAAAATTCTACATAATTTGTTAAATAATGATTCAACCTAATCTAAACTGCCCCTATAAAAATTCCTAAAGAAAGAGACGAGTTTTCTTGATTTCTAGAGAGAAGTATAAAGTAGTGTGTGTTAGAAGAAGATAATTTGGTATGACATCTAAGAAAGCATTCTTCTCACTATTTTTTTTCATGAAATTCAAATAATTAAATCATTCAGATTCAGGATTCAAAAACAATAGAAAACACAATTCATTAATGGAATGTTAATTTTTTTCTTGACTAAGAAACTCATGAAAATATAATTAGATTGAACAATATTTAATGTGAAATAACTCAGATCTCTTCAATTAAACTTTACTAAGCTGTCATCTTAAAATATTTTAAACTGTTACTTATAAAGGGTAAGATTCAATTCATTTGAGCCCAGCACAGTGACCCATGCCTATAACCCCAGCAACTCAGGAGGCTGAGGCAGGAGGATTGCAAATTCAAACCCAGCCTCGGCAAATTAGTGAGGCCCTAAGTAACTCAGTGAGACCATGTCTCTAAATAAAATACAAAAAAGGGCTGGGGATGTGGCTCAGTGATCGAGCACTACTGGATTCACTCCCTAGTACTACACACACACATACACACACAAAAAAAACCCAAACCAAAACAACAACAACAAAAAAACTCACACAAAAACAAACTTCCTTTGACCATATAATCTTGTATAAGATACAAATCCATGTCAACCTTCCCTATGAATTGTCTTTTTACATTAATGACATTTATTTAGCATCCCAGTCAATGATAAAAGAAAATTAAGACACTGTTCAGCTCTCTATACAACCTCATTCCGACATACATACATGACTCCTATATTTTGAATTTAAATGTTTAATACATTCAGTCAACTACCTATAATTAATAGTAATTTTTATCTCTACATAGTTCTCAAAATTGGAATCATTTATAGAATCAGTTTTAATAGAAATTAAAGATAAATGTGAGAATCTTTTGATTTGTTTCAAATTTATTTCTTAAACCACTTGATCATTTTTAATTTCTTAATTACAATGAGACAACTAATTGTTCACAGCTCAGAGAACACCAGTCACTATAAAGTACTGCCTGCCAATGGGGGTCCATTATGAGAGGATAAAAGTGAGAGGAAATATTTTGGAATTGTCTGGAAAGTTTTTCCAAAGTGTATCCCATCACTATCACAACCACAGAAAGCCAATGTTTAAGAGATGTGTCACAGACTTTATAAGAAGAATGCAATCAAGGTTTAGCTAGAACTGAAGTTAGAAGCCTTGTGACAAGCACTGCTAAAAAGGATTCTCATTAGGCCAATGCTCAGGGCTTCCGTAGATACTTCCCTCTACACATCACTTTCCCAGTTAGATGTTTAGTGAGGCAAGCACCCAAAGAGACAATTATTTCTATCACTTATGTGCAATAAGTGGTACACTTTCAATTGCTTACCTCCAATATTCTGAATTATTATGGTGCCTGCCACCACCACCTATAAAAGAAAAAAATGTATTCAGAAGATAAAAGGGGAAACTATGTAAAATAATTAGTATTTTATTAAAATCCAAAAACTAATACTATAAAATAGATGCAGAAGTCATGATAATGAGAAACAAGAATGAATAAATTGACAGTTATTTGTAATACTAAAATTAATAAAAATTACATAAAAAGGCTTTCTTTAATAGTTCCACAGTTACCATAAAAATGTTTTGCAATTTTTTGGCAGTCATTTCTGAATAGTTAGACTTGTTAAAAGCTAGTAATCAGTGATTATCAAAGTTAAAAACCTGAAATTGAATCTGGGGAATCTCAGGGTCCCTTTCATATTGGTTTTACCACACTGCTTTAGCAGGAAGACCAAGATAGCTTGGAGTGTGCTGTGCCAGTGTAGTCTTGCATAGAAGGAAATCATACACCTTCTGAATATATTAGCTTGGCATACTCCTAGCTTTTGAAAATTCTATGCCAGGGATTAATAAAGTCTATAGCAGAAAACTCCAGAGCAAAAACATTCTCACACCCTGAAAATTTAGACAAAATGTTTCAAGTGAAGTAAGCTGAGTGTAAGAAAATAGAAAGTAGTGAAAACTGTAGTCTATTGGAGAACTCCCCCTTCAAAATGGAACAGTTTTGCTACTCAGGTCTGGTGAGTTGATGATATGTGAGAACACACATCCAGTATAGCCAGATCTTCTGATTTTTAAAGGAAAATCAGAAATCAATGTTTTTCAAACTTTTATGATTATCAGCTGGCAACATATTAAAAATAAAAAATTTTGAGCCAAACAATATATGCCTGAGGACTAGTTTCAGGCTGCAGGATTGCAAGTTTATGATCTTTGATAAGACGTCTAGGAAACTCAACGAACATTTTATCCATCCCTGGTGATAAGATGTATTCAGAGGAAATAGTTAAACATTGCACTTCCATTTGAGCTTTCTGAGGACTCAAATCTTGGTGGACTGCAATCATCAAGGGATATTTGGATCTATCTAACATCATTCAGTCCTCCATGAAGTGGGAACAGATCAACTGTCAGGCCCATCTCTATTAGGAATTCCATCAGTGACACAAAATTTGTCTGTCCTGAAAACAATCAAAGGTAAGGCCTTGGGGTCTGCAGAGAAGTGATATTGAGTTGAAAATCTGGCAAAGTGTCTTTAGGGATATGGTAATTACCATGCTAATGTTTTCCAGAGGGAACTCTGCATCTCAACCCACTTAAAAATTAGTTTCAAACTGTTATTTATGAAAAGACTATTTTAAACTGTACACTATCTTCAGTACAAATTATACCTACTATCACACACACATATAATAGTTGAGTGTATTGTCTATCATGAATATATTGTCTATCAATATATTGCAAAGAAGTAATAACATCTTAATAATTGCTTTTCCATTCTTTAGCTGAATTTAAGCATTTAATATCTACAAAGCCAGATGAATGTGCCATCTTCAGTGCCTAGCCCAATGCAGGGCATGGTATCTATTTAATAAATATTTATTTGATAAGTAAATACATCAATTTAGAGACATTTTTTGAAATCTTCCTTAAAATTTCAAAATGTTTCAAAACAACTGATTCTCAGAATACTATCTTGTATCATATTTATATGAAATCTAGAGACAATAGGAAAGTTTCAACTCACTTGTGGAAGTGGAAAGGAAACACAAACAAATAATAATTCCTCATCCAAAGTATGCTCTGTCTAGTGAACCTGCCTATTATGAACTGGGTGCACATATTAAAGTAATATTGCAACAGCTCTAGAGTTTTAGGAAAAGGAGACTCAATCCATTACTCTTATTTTAGATTGGTGCTGCCCAAGGATGCATGAAATACTAATATGAAATGACAGTGATCAGTGATCACACTTAGATTCATGTTTACAGATCACATTAACTGGGGAGTTTTCTTATATAATAACTTTTTTGGTCCTTATTCTTTGATTAAACTAGCTGTATTAAATTCATCACTGATTACACTAAACCTCTTGATTTTAGGAAAGAGAACCAGTTACCAGGGATGATGAATACAATCCTTTACCCTCAAGTAACATATTTCCTGTTTTGTGCAAATTTCAAGTTTTTAAGGTCTAAGCCATGAGGCCACCTAGTATATGATTTAAACATTCCATTTTGTACTTTAAAAACAAAGTTAATTGGAATATAAGTACAAGTTTTTTTCCCCTCTCCATTATATAGTCGTATCTTTTTCCTCCCATACTCACTCCTTAGAAGTTAATTTAGCTGCATGTGGTAGCATACACCTGCAATCTTAGATATTTGGGAGATTGACACAGGAGAATTGCAAGTTCAAGGCCAGCATGGGGGATCAATAACTTAGGTTAGCCATTTACAAATAAGGTACCCTTTTATATTAAAAGCAAAAGAAACAGTATGTGAGGTGAGACATATGTTACTTAATTTAGCCATTCTGTAATCTGTATATATATTTCATAACATTCTATACATGGTAAATATGTACAAATTTTGGTTTTCAATTAAAAAAATACAAGCAAACAAAAATACAAAAACAGATTTATAAACAGAAAAATTTCTGTTTGGAACCAACATAAATATGGGTTCTAGAAGTATGATTAGCTCTTCAGGGGGAAAAAAAAGGTACTATAATACTGATAGCAACGCTCAACTCGTGATAATCTGTGAAAAAAGATAATGTTTTTCCCTAGCTCTGAAATGAGAATACCTATCAAAAATGAGTGCCACTAAATTTTGCTGTCATCTTTCTTATTCTAAGTAGGAAATGCAGCAGATTTATAATCTGTAGTCATAGGTTGTAGAATTGGCTTTATGTAATTGTTGATAAATAGGACCCTTGGGCTGGGGTTGTAGCCCAGTGTAGTGTGTTTGCCTTGCATATGTGAGGCACTGGGTTTGATCCTCAGCACCACATAAAAAAATTAATAAACAAAATAATGTTATAAAAAATAAAATCTTTTAACTGCTCTGGCCCTTAATTTTCTCACCTATAAATGATGGGGTAGTTAGGTAATCTTTCAGGATTGTTTAACTCTCAAATTCTATGATCCTTAGCTGGGCTCAGTGGCACACACATGTAATCTCAGTGTCTCAAAAGGCTGAGACAAGTTCAAAGCCAGCCTCAGCAAAGCGAGGTACTAAGCAACTCAGTGAGACCCTGTCTCTAAATAAAATACAAAACAGGGCTGGGAATATGATTCAGTGGTTGAGTGCCCTTGAGTTCAATCCCTCGTACCAAAAAAAAAAAAAAAAAAAAAAAAAAAGAATAAAATATACTAAAAAATTTAAGCAAAGAATTAAGTATATTGATGTATTTTTAGTATTAATGCATTTTTAGTAAGGGCACATACACTGTTCTCTCTTCCTGCTCCCATCATTTTCTTTTCTTCTTTTTTCAAAAACTTTTGTTTCCTTTTATTCCCAAAAAGTCTTTCTATTATATATACTTATCTCTTAACTTGAAATAGAAGGAGAAAATGACTCTTTGGTTTTGGACACAATAAGAAAAAAATAAAATTACCTTTCCGGGTAATCCAAATGCAAAAAGTCCAAGATCTTCATAAGATGTTACAGCTGTTAAGAGAAATGATCATTTTCACTTTTACACAAACCATTTATGTACCAAGTCTTCAAGAAAACAAAGGTATTCTACTACAAACTAAGCAGAGTATAATTTTTAGGATTCAGGCCCATCAGAACTAGACATAAATATGAGGAAAAAATAAATAAAGGTAATAGAAAGAAAGGTGAACTTAATTAGGTATTTTATATAAAGGTCTTTAGAGCATTAATCTCCAGGATATATAAAGAACTCAAAAAATTAACACCAAAAGAACAAATATCCCAACCAATAAATGGACAAAGGAAGTAAACAGATACTTCACGAGGAAGAAATACAATCCGTCAACAAATATATTTTAAAAAGTTATACTTCTCTAGCAATTACAGAAATGCAAATTAAAACTACACTGACATTCCATCTCACTCCAGTCAGAATGGCATTTATCAAGAATGCAAGTAACAATAAATGTTGGGGAAAAGGTACACTCACACATTGCTGGTAGGGCTAAAAATTGGTACACCCTGGAAAGCAGTATGGAAATTCCTCAAAAAACTTGGAATGGAACCACCATTTGACCCAGTTATTCTACTCCTCAGTATATACTTCAAAGATTTAAAATCAGCATACATCAATGCAGCCACATTAATGTTTACAGCAGCTCAATTCACAACAGATAAGCTTTAGAACCATCCTTCAATAGATGAATGGATAAGGAAAATGTGATACATAAACATTAGCCATAAAGAAGAATAAAATTACGACATTTGCCAGTAAATGAATGGAACTGGAGATTATCATGCTAAGTGAAATAAGCCAATCCCCCCAAAACAAAATGCCAAATATTCTCTTTGATATGCGGATGCTAACAGACAATGGGCGGGCAGTGTACAACAGAAATTCACGGCATTAGACAACAGGGAATGAATGGAAAGGAAGGGGAACAGGAATAGGAAAGACAGTTGAATGAATTGGACATAACTTTCCTATGTTCATATATAAATACACAACCAGTGAAACTCCATATTGTGGAGTTTCACAAGAATGGGATCCTAATTAGAAAAAGTTATACTCCATGTATATATGTCAAAATATACTCTCCTGTCACGTATATCTAAAAAGAATAAAAGGAATAAAAGAAAAAAACGAACTCCTTTGTTTATTGTTAAAAAAGTCTTTGATAAATTTCTTCATTAAATATTTAATTTTCAACCCAAAATATAACCCACAATGCCTGTGATTTTCATGTCCTTTTATTCAACAGTGATGATTTCTCCTTTAAAAAAATCACCAAGGACTCCTTTTATTAATGTATTTCATATTCTAAAAGATTTTGTCTCTCTAATGGCACATAATAATTATTTCCCATTTTTATTAACCAAAAGTTTCTGATCAGTATAAGGTAACCATTGTCAACACAGTAATTTTGGTTACCAACTAGCAATCATCTATGTATCTACCTGACATCCCCTCTGCATCTATTTTAAATAAAATGTATAGGCTGGTCATGGGTCAATTTGTGATTTCTCTTAAGTGTTCTGAAATACTGATAGTTGCTCAAACACTTTCAATATTAATTCTGCAAACTCCTAGTGGCTTGGGTTCACCTGTCCTAAAACTACTGGATGATCACACTAAATTTAAAGCAGAAGTAGTGACTTTTTTTTAGTTAGTATCTCCCTAAGTTGTCCAGGCTGGCCCTAAACTTTTAATCCTCCTGCCTCATCCTCCCAAGTAGTTGAAATTATAGGCATGTACCATGGGCCCTGCTAGAAGTAACAACTTTAGTAGGAACTTTTGAAGACCTGTGGTTTATAAGGACAGAGTCCTCCTAGAATATGTAGCAAATCTCAAGGTTGTTTAACCAATATCCAGGCTATAAGAATTCAAATGGCATAATTACTTAATATCCCACTTCTCCCTATACAGTACTTGCATACACATTGTACAAATTTAAGTTTTCACTGCAAAAGTTTCCCCAAACTGGATATGTAAATAAAGTTAGATAAAGTATTAAAGTTGTATAATACTTTCAAAGACATTTACTTTTCCAGGTGTCTAGCATGATAATAATGTATAACGGTGGGAAGCGACACTTTTATCCAACAATTAGTAGGGCATATACTCTTCTTCATCAAAAAGAACAATAAATTACATTCTTATTTCACACATTCAAGCAATGTATTCATTAAAAAGATGAAAATTAAAGGGCTCATAAAGGAACCAAATTATATCCTTAGTCCATATAGCTTCATGTTTAAGTTAGTAGTGCTACCATTTATATAATAATACTATAGTGTGAAAAGTGCATAAAAAAGGGGGAGGCTTGGGATGTGGCTCAGTGGTTAAATGCCCCTACGTTAAACTCCCCATTAAAAAAAAAAGTTCATAAACTCATAGTGCTTATGCTAAAGAGAAGCAAATACTAAGGCATGGTACAATAATACACATCTCCCATTGGCCAAAGATACAGCTCATCATTTCCTAAACCCAGTTTTAATAAACTGTTCAAGATAAACATGAGTTTTCTTATCAACTTCCACTTTATCAGCAAAATATTCATTTATACTTTCATAACTAAAAACTTCCAGGTATATACAAATAAACATTTGTAAAAAAAATATGACCTTTATATATTATAATATAAACTCAGAAAGAAAATAGTACAATATTAAAAAATATGGAGTTTTAGTAATTAAGAAAAAATATTTCAATTTTAATCTATTATCAGGGTAATCAAAGGATTTGAAAAATCCTTTGAAAAAATTTTTGGATGATACAGCTATTTTTAAAAATGGAAGCTGGGGGCGGGGGTACACACCTGTAATCTCAGTAGACCGGGAGGCTGAGATAGGAGGATCACAAGTTCAAAGCCAACCTTAGCAACAATGCTAAGTAACTCAGTGAGACCCTGTCTCTAAATAAAATACAAAATAGGGATGAGGATGTAGGTCAGTGGTTGAGTGCCCCTGAGTTCAATCCCTGGTACCAAAAAAAAAAAAAAAAATGTATTCACCTAATGCTAAACACAGTACACAAGTATAATTTAGTTTTGAATTTGGGACATATAGTTTAATTACAAGTAGAAATCTTTATGCTTTAATAAGTGAAAGATTTCAATAATAATTTTATAAGGGTAGATTTTTGATCTTTTTAAATTATTTTTTTAATACCTTTATTTTATTTGTTTATTTTTATGTGGTGCTGGGGTTCGAACCCAGTGCCTCATGCACACTAGGCAAGTGCTCTACCACTGAGCCACAACCCTGGTCCAATTTTTGATATATTTAAAACACAAAATTAAAAAGCAGAATTACGAAACTTTTAGGACTGGCATTTTCCCTCCTATGTGAAAGGCCAAAATTCTTTGCTTCAAATACATACATTTTAAAGTAAATATCAATTACAAAAAATAATCATTATTTTAATCAATAAATTTTTACTAGTCTGTTTTAACATTCTTAAACCTAATTGACAACATTATATATAGGCACAATTCCTTATACTTAACATTCCAGTCAGCCTTGGTACATATATTATACCAGAAAATTGTCTACACGTTAACATGCATCTAATTTGGCATTAAAAAGGTAATTTTATTAGATTTTATATTATGTGAACCAAGTCTCCAGAATATCTGTGATCTGTCACTGAGCCATGAGATTAAAGAAATATCACTGTTTTTAGCATTCTTATAATATTACAACTAAATGTGTTCATTCTTTTTTTTCTTTCTTCTTGTTTTCTTTTTCTTTTTTCTTTTGGAAAGTCCCCTTTCAGAGATGCTGAATTAGTCGGTCTTGGGGTGGGACCTGAGATTCTACATTTTATATTTTCCACTTTTTTTTTAATTGGAACACTACATTTGCAACATAATGATGGGATTTATTGTTACCCATTTGTACATACTCACAATATAACAATATATTTTGACCAATTCATTATTCTTCAGAATAATTTTTTCTTTTTTTTAATATTTTACTTTTTTGTTATACACAATACCTTTATTTTGTTTATTTATTTATGTGGTGCTGAGGATTGAATTCAGGGCCTCGCATGTGCTAGGTGAGTGCTTTACCGCTGAGCCACAACCCCAGCCCCAAGAATAATTTTCTTTCCAGGAATTTAAAGCAAGGAAGCTTTTCTGTTACATATGGGAATATATCAAATATCTTCTTTTCAAATGACTTATTTTGCAAGACTTAATCTGTTTGTAAGTTATCAAGAAAATACTCATCAAAGAGTTTAACTCATCAAAGAGTTTCACTAGGGTTATTTATTTATTTGTATATTTGTTTAGGGATGTGGGAATTAAAACTAAGACCTGATAGTACTAGGCAATAGCTCAACCACTGAGATACACCCCCAGCCCTGTTTTACTTTTAAATAGCAGAAAATAAGTATAGAATGCATATTTAGTAAACATGAAAACTAAATAGCTTTATTATGACCAAACAATCCTAATACAAAAGAATCTGAAAAGAATAGATATGCAACCTTCACTGTTCCAGGAAATATAATCAAACTAGTAGATTAAGGAAGACAATTTAAATTGCAACTTCAGACATTTTAGCAATCTCAAGCTTGCTCTCTGGTTCTATTATTTTTCAGTTTTATAAAAATATCACTAAGGACAACAAATTCTCAAACTGAAAGTAAAAAAATAAAATTAGAAAAATAAAATTTTAAATGGAGACAAGTACAGTGCTCAAGTCCTGATTCTAGCTTTCCAGTCAGCATGTCTGGGTAGTCATTCAGTTCTGTCACTGTCATCAGACTCCTTTTATGTTGCAAAAATTAGAAGCACTTTTCCATGCCTGGACATCATGATTATGAATAATGGATTTTTGGCTTAACTTTGAGGCTTTACTAAAATGTGTACACAGTCAGCCAAAGCTTTATTTGCACATCCTTGCTTTTTAATGGTTTTCTGGAGCATCTCAGCATATAAACCAAACTCCAATGAAACACTTTTTTAAAGTTCTGTTCTGTCACTTAAGCAATTTCTTAAAAT